TCTCCAGCTCTGTCCAGAACCCTCTGTTGTGATCCTGGTCAGAGCAGTCAGTGGTGGTAGCCGGGCACCATCTAGTTGTACTGGACTCAGTCCGGTGGAGGCCTTGGTAAAGAGTCTGCTTTCTTATAGTCTTATACATTCATCTAAATCTTTGAGAGCACCAAGAGCAGATCTAATTTATTCCATATTGCAACATTTAAGTCTTAAGTAAATTCCAAGCTAAATCTCTCCAGTTCTTTTAATTGATGTTTGTTTTCATTTTCTTCACTTGCCTGACCACTCTGAATATGCTCCAGTTCTTTATTTTTATTTATTTATTTTTTAATGCATGGTGCCTCAAATTGAGTGTATACCAGCATTGGTCTTGTTAGAACAGGATTAAGTTCAATTGTCACTTCTTTCCTTTTAGGTACTCTACCTCTGTATTTCTCAGTATGGCACTGGAGGGTTCATAATACATTACAAATTCATACTGAATTTACTTAAAACCATTTTTAATGTTTTTATGTCCATTAGCACTAAGCCATGTTACTACTATGTATCTTTGCAGTTTTTTGAAACCAATGCAGGACCATATATTTGTCTTTAATTTTTTTTCTTAATAAACCATGTTTTTAGCTTGTTGAGATTTTCTTTATTTTTAATTTTGCTAATGCTGATTTACTTTCCATCTTAGCATGATGTCACTTACAGATTATGTTGACTAGGTTGGGACAGGATCCTGCCCTGTGTTATCAGGCATCCATCACCCTTTAGGAATTGTCACTATGTCTACTACTAATTTACATAATTGTTCTTGTCCTCATTCAGTCCATATCTCAGCCTGTCTCTTGGCCAAAACTGGATAATGAAGACCATATCAAATTATTTTGAGTGTACTAGGGTCTTTTGTTCAAATATGTTGATACATAAACTACCAACCTAATGATCCAGTCAGAAAAAGAAATGAAAGTAACATTTTGCTGTGTATTGGGGATTCTTGAATTCACTGGGATATAGAACTGGAAAAATGAGTAACAGATTTTGCCTTTAAGGACCTCAAAATGTGGTGGGTGAGACAGTAAAGCCCAGTAAATGACAATATAAGTGCTGTACTAGAAGTATAAACAAGCTAATGTCTGGCATGACTTGTTTTTAATGAATCCATGCTGAGGTTTGATGATAACTCTTTTTTTGCCTAAGTGGTCACAAGTTATGTCTATTAATTCCTTTTAGAATCTTGTCCAGGATTGCTATCAAGCCACTTGTCTTTAATTTTTACTATTTGACCTCTTTTCCTTTTAAAAATTGTAAAGTGTGGGAAGAGGAGTTAGCTGTAAGTGTGGAAAAATTGCAGAAAGCTAGTTACCGGGGATGGAAAATATATTTCACACATACTTGGAAGCATAAAGCCAGAAGTGACCTTACAGACTTAGTTCAGTTCAGGGGCAGTTGGGGGCTTGTGTATGATTATATATCTACTTAGCAAAAATCCCTGGCTTAGAAGCCAGTTGTTCTGACTCAGTTTAGTATTGTTTTTGACCATGCCACACTTCTTCCACTGCTTACTTAGGATTAGTTTTGTTTACCATTAGTTGGACAGAACAGTTAAAGGTACTTGTGAATTTATCATCTTGGCACAGGACGTGTGTATACATTTATATCTCTTAAAATACTTCCTTTTCTTTTTAGGTGGTTATTGGTGGCAGAAATAAATATTTAATCAATGGAGTAAATGCAAACAACACCAGAGTACAGGATCTTTTCTGTTCTGTTGGCCTTAATGTTAACAACCCTCACTTTCTCATTATGCAGGTATTTTGTTTGTGTTCTTTACATCTGTTTTATGATGGTTTTGACATCTTTTATTTTTAAGTCATTACAATTGGAGAGATTCTTTCTTTATTGGATTTTACTAATATGCTGAGGTCTGGGCCCCTGTTAATAAATGTGGTTTATTTATTTGTGTTGATGGTATTTTGAGAAACGTCTGGAGCTAACTTTCCTTGACTTTTATTTTCTTATTAAGAGAACAGTACATGCTCACTATAAATTTTTAAAAAATATTCTCATTCTTTTAAAGTATTGAATTAGAGCATCTTAATATTTCAAGTATGTATTCTTTAAAGACTTACACAAATGGAGAGTAAGCACTGACATCTTACACTTATATTATCTCACTTGACCCATCCAGCCACCCTTTGAAAAAGTCACAGCATGGTCAATGGCAGGATGATGGAGCCAAACAAAAATATTTTCACCATATCACAGCTTTAAAGCTGAAAATTTACTTCAAATGAATCTAAATCCTAAGTAATATGATTCTCTGAGAGCTGGATGTGCTTCTATGTGGGGGAGGGGTAATGAATGAGTTCGATGCTTTTCTGGCATTGAAGTTAAACGTTTTATTTTTCTTTTATTTGAGGCCTAGAGGTATGTCATGTATTTCTTGGAGGACTATCATTCCAAAAAGTCAAGAAATGTTCAGTAATTATACATAAATTTATCTATATACCTATTTTTATTTATATATCTATTTTAGAATTGGATGCTTCTACATCATTAATATTAACTGTCTTAAAAATCTGGTCTGAGTTAACTTTGTATCATTTAATAAATTATATTGTATCACTTAATAACTTTGTATCATTTGATTTGCATCACTGTCAGTGACAAAATGAATAGCAATGCCAAAATTCTAAAATTGTAAGATACCTTTGGTCTCAAATCCAATAAAATAAACATCTTTCATGTAGGTAAGAGAAAGAACCTCCAAAAACTTAGTGTATTAGGATTTGGTTGCTGTTCGTAGCTGTTATTGAGTAGGCCCTTGACTCATGGCAACCCCACATACAACAGGATTGAACCCTTGTGGTCCATGTATTAGGATACATACAGCTTTATTGAAGAGAAACATGCAGGCCTGTGGGTTACATTTTCTATAATTTGTTATCATTGTGGTAAGTTTGTCATTTTATTTTCAGGGTCGAATTACAAAAGTATTGAATATGAAACCTCCAGAGGTAAGAATACTATTTATGAATAGTAAAAATAGTAATTATGAATACCATTTTAATTTTCCAGGCAGTCAATTTTTTTAACATAATTTCTTTCATATTAAATTTCTTGGAAACATTGTTTATTTAAGAATGCTTAGTAAAGGAGTTTTTTGTTTTATATTTGGCACTGTGCTATGTATTAAAATAAAAGAAATTTTGACTGTATAAAGTAGCCTTTCTCAACCAGTGTTCCATGGGAGAATGAAACCCTATAGAAAAAGATTTGAGTAGCTGTTTTTACAATTTCGTGAAACATTGCACACAGATAGTACCATTCTAGATGCATAGATGAGAAAATTTATTAGTTGGTATAAGGTATGAATATTTCATACAAGAATGAAGGCTTTTTAATTATTTGTTTCTATTGAAAGAAGCTAATAAAAAGACTGATAATTGATGATACCAGTCTGGTTTAAATATAGGTCATGCTTATTTCCTTTAGATAACATCTCAGGGGAAAACTTCTAATTTGAGACTTGCCTAATACACAAAAATCAAAGTGGTTTCCAAGATGAAATAATTCTTTGAGACAGGGATTGTTGATGAGCAGCAGCTTCTGGAAAAGGAGTGCTAGCAAAATTGTCCTTCCCGCAAAATTATACAGTAAACCTGTGACAGACACAGAAACCTGTCAGAGAAGGAAAATTCAATTATTTTCCACTAAAATGAGCAATAGAAAAGTGGTAAGACTGCACCTTGTCAAAGGCTGAAACTTATGAGACGCAGAAAAACAAGGCAGTCCAGTGAAGTTCCGGCTCTCACGGGTTTCACTGTAGTTAATTAGTGCTTTTCACGTGCATTATTTTGTTTAATTCTCAACAGTCCTATGAGATATTAGCAGCTTTCTGGATAAAGAAACTGAAGCACAGAGAAGATTAAGTTACTTCCCAAAGTTCTTAAAGGATTTGTCACGGTTGGGACGTAAATGCTATGCCATGCTTCATCTTTATTGGCACAAAATGGCTGAAACCTGACTTGGTTGAATTTTAAGTAGACATTTCCAAAATAAAGCTGAATGGCACTAACTTTTAAAAAAATCTTCTTATACTTGGAATTGAAGGAAAAGAGGAGAGAGGAATTATTGACTTTAATTTTAAAAGAGATGTACTTGGAAAATTGTAGCAGAAAGTGATTTTAGAATTTGGGTGAAGTCCAGAAATGTTCTTGAATATAAGGATTATGGGTAATATGTGAATTTTTATCTAATTGTTATGATTCATTTGGACCATTGTTTTCATAAGATGCTTACTAAGGTCAAGGCCATAAATGATGTACTCAGATAAATTCAGAAGAGACATATTGTCTTGGATTCTTGAAACATTTATAAAATTGTCATTTCAGATTTTATCTATGATAGAAGAAGCAGCTGGAACCAGGATGTATGAATACAAAAAAATAGCTGCCCAGAAAACTATAGAAAAAAAGGAGGCTAAGCTGAAAGAAATTAAGACGGTAATTAAATTGATCCGGAACATTTTTGGAGAAAAATAAAATTTTCCTATGGATTTTCTGTGCTGTGAAATGGCAAAGCCTTTTTTTTTTTTTTTTTTTTTTTTTTTTAGTTTTTCCATAATGTTTTTGCTACTTTTTATTTTTAATGGTACTGTACATACCGAAAATACTTATTTTTCTTTATTTTGCAGATACTTGAAGAAGAGATTACTCCAACTATTCAAAAGTTAAAAGAGGTATATACTGTATATCTGAAGACAGCCAATAGAATGTCTCTCTAAATTGGTGAAGTATCCTTAGAGCACATGCATAGGGATGAAGAGTATACTAATTTGGGGAGACTTTTCTGCAATGAGATATGAAATTAGAGTTGATACTCTGTAGCTCAGCCTTCCGCTTACAGGGGATATGTTCTTCATACCCATTAAGTTGTAATGGTTTTGGAGTCTGCTCTATATAATCTCAGATAATCATATGCCAAATTTTAATACTTTGTTAAACAAGTCTGGGTTTTCCTGGACAATTAGAATTGACTGGAAGAACATTTCTTAAGGATATGTCACTGTTAGTAACCCTGGTAGGTAGGGTGAGTAACTTCTGGTATAGTAAGTGCTATTACATAATTGTTGCTGTCAAGGCATTTTATAAGTAAAAGGGATTGAAACAAAGGCCTGGTTATTCACTATCATTTTTACAGCTCCTGGACATCATAGAACTTGGCAGTGTTTCTTTAGTGTTTGTTACATAGTGAAACAATGCATTTACAGCACATTGTTTTAAAAGATAGCCATTTAAGAATTTATTAAATGCTCAGTAAAATTGGTACTACTCAGAAATGTTTTCTTAATCCATATAGTAAAGTTGATGTGTTTGGAAAAACTGAAAAATTGTGATCTTGAAGGTATCCCCCTTTGTATGCATAATTTAGTAGAAAATAGGAGCCCCTGTGGTACAGTGCTTAAGAGCTGGGCCAAAAGGTCAGCAGTTCGAACCCACCAGCCTCCTCTTGGAAACCCTGTGAGGGCAGTTCTACTCTGTCCTGTAGGGTTGCTATGAGTCAGAACCAACTTGACGGTACATAACAACAACTAGATCAAGAGTTTAAACCTATGTTTCAGACCTGATTTTGCCGCATTTTTTCTAAATCTGACACCTTCATCGCGAAGTGGGGATTTTAATTGTTGCTTTGATTGCCACAGTGGGTCCTTGTAGGAATCAAGTTTAGCAATGTGTGAGACAGTGCTTATAAATAGTTATGTGAATGAATGTTGGGTAAACATCTTGGTAATACTACTATAAACTACATTTAATAGTGTGTTATCGGTGGCTGTGTAGGTTGGCTTGGTAGACATCAGACTACCAACAAACAGTCTACGAACCCAATGTTCACATTTGTTAATCTCAACTGCTTGATTATATATTACAAGAAATAGCCACATGGGATTCACTAAAATCGGTTCCAACTTATGGTGTTACAGGGTATAGAACTGCTCCATAGGATTTTCTCAGCTGTAATCTTTACGGATGGAGTTAGCCACGGCTTTCTTCTGTGGAGCTGCTGGGTGGGTTCAAACCCCCAGCCTTTAGGTTGGCAGCTGATCACAAACTGCTCACTAGAGATGGTATAATGCTACCTAAGAAACCAGAGTTCTCATGTTCTTTGAAAGTTTCCTAAATTTTTATAATTGTATGATTATTTAAGAAAAAATCTATTGTATCATGGGATGGAAAATTAGGTACATGTTGTAGTTTGATTCTTTTCAAATTTGTTTAGAAATACGAATTTTTGAATAATCCTTTGTTGGTAACTTCTCTTTCAGGAAAGATCTTCCTACTTGGAGTATCAAAAAGTAATGAGAGAAATAGAACATTTGAGTCGTTTATATATTGCTTATCAGTTTTTGCTGGCTGAAGATACTAAAGAACGCTCAGCTGAGGAGTTAAAAGAAATGCAGGATAAAGTTGTAAAGCTTCAAGAAGAATTGTCTGAGAATGATAAAAAAATAAAAGAACTTAATCATGAAATAGAAGAGTTAGAAAAAAGAAAAGATAAGGTAGGAACATATAAATAAGACAGATAATATACTTCTGTGTGAAAAAAATGTTAAACTATGTTATGTACAATAATTAGTCAGGATTCACTCAGTGTTGTCTTCCTTATTGATTTGTTAACAAAAGTAGGATAATTAAATACCTTTTAAAAAGTGTAAATATTTCTCATAAAATCACATAATAACATGAACAAATTTTAAGTAATGTGATTGAATTGGGCCCATTTGATTATAGGAAATTGGAGGTATACTCCGCTCTTTAGAAGACACTCTTGCAGAGGCTCAGCGAGTTAATACTAAATCTCAGAGTGCCTTCGATCTCAAGAAGAAAAATCTGGAAAGTGAAGAAAACAAACGCAAAGAGCTGGAAAAAAATATGGTGGAGGTAAGTAAATAAGCAGTCTAATTATCACCAGTGTACATTTATCCATTCAGTTACTGTTTATTGAGTGCCTAATATAGACCAGGCACAGTTGTTTGTGCTAGGGATATATCAGTGAACAACGAAATGGACAAAAGTCCCTGCCTTGTGTGTCTTTCATGGGAAAATGATGATAAAGAAAATAAATTAGTAAAATATATAGCGTATTGTATAGTGATAATTGTTGGGGAGAAAAAAAAAATAAAGCAGGAGAAGGGAACAGGAAGGGCAAAGGTTATAGTTTTAAAATGAGTAGCCATCAAGGGCCTCAATTGAGAAGGTGATATTTGAATAAGATCTGAAGGAGATCAGAGAGTAAAATGAGCCATGTAGATAGATTGGGGGATGAGGGCAGTTTTCCAGACAGAGCAGCCTTTGCCCTGACTGTCTTTAGCATTGGAGAAACAAGGAGATCATCATGGCTGATAAGCACTGAAAGAAGAGTACTAGGAATGCAGAGAGGTAACAGAGTGCTGGATCATATAATATAAGGCTTTGCAAGACATCTGAAAGATTTTGACCCTTATTCTGAGTGACATGGGAAGCCACTAGAGTTGGTTGAGCAAAGGAGTGACATCTCTTAAGTCTTAACAGGATGATTCTGATTGTTTTGAGGATAAACTGAAGGGTCAAGAGGAGAAGCAGGGAATCCAGATAGGAGGCTATAGTCCAGGTAACAGCCCTTGGGTAAAGGTTGTAGAAGTGGGAGTAGTGAAATATTGTGGCATATTGTATTTTAAGGATAGATCTAACAGGATAAGCTGACAGATTGGTTATTGGGTATAAGAGAAAGAAAAAAGTCAAGAATAACTTCAAGATTTTTGCCTTTGACAGTTAGGATGGAGTTGCTATTAGCTGAGATGGAGAAGAGGAGGAAAAACAGTTTGGATGGGGGAAAGGAGAAATACAGTGTGAACATAATAGGTTTGAGGTGCCTGTTAAACATCTGAGTACAGATGTTGATTGGGTAATTGAATGTATGAATATCAAATCTAAGTTAGAGATATAAAGTTGTGGGTCATCAGTGTATATCCATGTTTATCCATGAAACTGAGTAAGATTACCAAGATTATAAGTGTATATAAGAAGAGAAAAACTCAAAGGTTTGAACACTGGTATACTTCAGCTTTTAGAGGTTAAGGGACTTGAGGAAGAACCAGTAAAGAGATTGCGAAGGAGTAGTCAGTAAAGTATGAAGAAAATAGGTAAGGCGTCCTGGAGGCCAAGTGAAGAAAGTGTTTCAGGAAGTGGCTGTGAGATCCTGCTTAAGAGTTTGTTCAAGGCAGAATGGGAGAAGATAAACTTGAGAGGGAGCATAGAGAATTCTTTTGAGATGTTTGCTGAAAAGGGAAGGATAAATAGGGAGCTAATTGGAAAAAACCAAACCCATTGCCTTTGAGTCGATTCCAACTCATAGTGACCCTATAGGACAGGATAGAACTGCCCCCATAGGGTTTCCAGGGAGTGGCTGGTGGATTTGAACTGCCCACCTTTTGGTTAGCAGCCAAGCTTTTAACCATTGTGCCACCAGGGCTCCATTAATTGGAAGGTAATGTAGAATTAAGAGGGTTTTTTTTTTTTTTTTTGGTTTGTTTTTAAGATGCAATAAATACCAGCATGTTTTTATATTGATGGGAATGATCCAGTGGCAAAGGCAACATTTATGGTTCAGGAGAGAGATGGGAGATTTGCTAGAATTGGGTCCCTCAGTAGGTGACAGTGGTATACGATCTAGTGCACAATTAGAGGGAGTAGCCTTTGTGAAAGAGTAAGTCATCTGAGTAACTTTTGTGAAGGCAGGCAAATGTGTGACAGGAGCTTGTGGAACTTTTTTTCCCAGTGAAAATATATAGAACTTGTTTTTTCATTGTAAAAGTAACTTCATGAAAATAAAGTATTTCTTTATACATCTCATTAGTTATTTTTGCACCAAAATGTAATTACCAACTTAAGAAACCGGTAAAAATCTAGACAAAATATTATCAAAGTGATATGGATGTCTTGTGACACCCAGCAAGCGAAACCATTTCCGCAAATGTTATCAAGTTTTATAAAGCTTCAAACCTTATGGACCTACTTTGGTTTTGGTTCATTTTTCCTTAATCCTGCCAGGCCCATAAGCTTCACACAGCACTTTTAGTCTCCTTTGCTAGATTTCTTGACCTCTAAGTGTTGGCATGTCTCAGGGCTAGCCCTCAGACTTCTGTAGACACTTAGGTAATCTCATCTAGCTCTTTAGCTCTAAATACTGTCTATATGGTATCAGAAAGTCCCCAAGACCATCCCCAGGTTTGATGATTCACTAGGAGGACTCACTCTCTATGATTTATTACATCAAAAGGATACAGAACAAAATCAGCAAAGCGACAAAAGGTGGTTGGGGTGAAGAGCTAGGATTACATGGGTCTTCTTCCAGTGGAATCACACAAGATGTACTTAATTTCCCCAGTCTTCTCCCAGTGGAATCACACAAGATGTACTTAATTTCCCCAGCAATGAGTTGTGACAACAGGTGTTAAGTAGGGAAGCTCTGTACTTTTTACTAGGGACTAATCATGTAGGCACCCCCTACTTTGCACATGCCCAAATTCCAGACCCCCAGAAGGAAAGCAGGTGTCCAGCATAAACCTTATTGTTTGTATAAACAAGTGAGGCACAGTAAGCTGCTCTTTTCAGTTCTGAGAATGGTGGGAACCCTCCTGAAATCCAGGTTCCCACATTCCAACAAGGACCAACGTTGTAAGCAAGGTTTTCAAAGGATAGCAGCCAGCCCTGTTGTGTTAACTCTTGTATGTGCTGATGCCTTTCACATGTGTAACTAGCCTCGACTCCTTTTCTGAGCTCTAGGCTCATTTGTCCAGGAACTTAACATTTTTCCCTGAATGACTTAACATATCCAAAACAGAACTTTCAAGCTCCCCTAACCCCCAAACCTACTTCTCCCTGAGTTACTGAGTTTTCCTTATCTCACCATTCACCTAATTGCTTAGTCCAGAAATCTTCCTGATTCTCCGTTTTTCTCAAATCCTGTGTTCAATCCATCAGCCAATTATAGTCACTATTTTAAAAATATATCCAGGATTCAACCACTGTTTATGACCTCTATCACAACCAACCTGGTGCATGGACTACTGTAATAGTATTCTTTTTGGTTACCTTGCTTTCACTGTTGCCTGTCTGCAGTCTGTTTTTTATATAGAATCTGAAACATAAATTGGATAGTGCCATTTCCCTGCTTAAAATCCTTCAGTTGTTTCAAAGGCACATGTATAATAAAATCCAAAGGCTTTACCATGGCCTAAAAGGCCCTACATGATATGACTCCTGGTTCCCTCAGTTTTCCACCCTAGAATATAGGCTCCCCAAGGACAGCGTCTTAGTGTCTTTAATGTCTAGAACAGTGCTTGGTACCTAGTATGTACCCAATAAGTATTTGTTGAAACATGAATCAATCAAGTGGGCCAAAATTTCTTGCCACTCTCATGCGAACAAATTGCTAGGTTATTTGTTCACTGTGCCGGTATCTTGCATACTGTCAGGTATATGGTTAATACTACCATAACTATTTAATATTTAAATTTTATTGCCTTTAGTAGTTAAACTATTTTTATGTACATTTTCTTAATCCTAAAATTTCTACTTTTAAGATAGGTTTAGTATGGCTATTATTTCAATTTTCTAAGTTTAGAAACTGATATTTAGTTTTTTCAAGTTTAAATCTGCACTTATTTTTTAACTCATTATTTCCCAGATTCAACTACAGCATATGGAGTGAAACTATTTCTAATGGGATAAATGTCACATTTATCCCCAAAACTGAGAAAGACAGAAATTCAAAATAGGAATTCCATATTTAAAGTTATGAGAATTAAATTATTTTTCTTATTATCATGCCCACCTCAAATTGCTATGAAGTTTGATGACCTAAGGGTATGTGTATATAAGAAAATGGATGACTGTCCTAACAAGTAATGCTTTCCTACTTGAATTTTTCCTAAAGGACTCTAAAACTTTAGCAGCAAAGGAAAAAGAAGTTAAAAAGATAACAGATGGACTGAATGCCCTTCAACAAGCAAGTAATAAGGATGCTGAAGCTCTGGCTGTTGCACAGCAGCACTTCAATGCTGTTTCTGCTGGCCTGTCCAGTAATGAAGATGGAGCAGAAGCCACTCTTGCTGGTCAAATGATGGCCTGTAAAAATGACATAAGTAAAGCTGAGACAGAAGCCAAGCAGGTAAAGATAGACATTAAGCTCTGTGATTGCATTTGTTTTTGGAAGCTGCTTCACATCATTTGTTGGCAATTGTTTTATGCCATTGTTGAAAGTAATCAGTTCAAAGTCAAGGAACTTGTTTACTTTATTCTTCTTCATAGTATCTAAAAGAGCAAAATTCAAACATGTCAGTTGCTAAATATTCATGATATTCACCATAAAATACCTTCATGGGTTAATGTAATTTTTGAGAGCAATAAATGCTTTGTTCTGTTTGTAACATTGTGTGGAAAATTAGACTTTAGTCAATTTATTCTCATCTTTTTGACTTTTTATTTGCTTTTATTGATATCATGAAGTTGGAATCTTAAGCTCTAGCAGGAAAGGAAAAATTTCTCTTCGTTTCTGTGCCTAGTTCTTAAAAATCTTATTTTTGGAACTTTGTAACATCTTCCTAGGAAGAGTTCCTCCTTCTTATTCGGCCAAGTTCCAGTCTTACATCTCCCTACTCTCACTTAACAATCTTTCATGGTATCTGATCTATTAATGGTAGTTCTTAAATTTGTTTAGGTAGTAGTGCAGCTAAAAATGTTTATGAGCACAAGAGTTTTGTTGCAGGAGGGAAAAATATATGTATATATACGCACATACACATTCTTTTTTTAATAGAGACTCAACTTTAAAAATATGTATGAACAAATGTACTTGTGTGTTTGTTTATTAACCCTATTCAAGTTTTTCTGTTCATATGTATTTGCTACTTTTTCACTCAGATGATCACCAAAAATTATAAGAAATCAATAGTTGAAAATTCTGTTTTTCTATTTTATGGGAACTGGGAAAAGGCTACTGATTTTCAGTTTTAGAGGGACAGTCCTGTGATCTAGGTCTTGTAATATTAGTTCATGGTTTTAAAAAGAAGCAATGCTCAATTATATAAACTTCAAACTCCCGAAGTTTCAGAAATTCTAGCATTTAAATTTCAGATTCCTATACTTAAACTTCTCTGTCAACTTAGCTTCTCTTTCCTATATAATGGAGCCCTGGTGGCAAAGTGGTTAAGAGCTTGGTGCTAATCAAAAAAAGGCTTGCAGTTTGGATTCACCAGCCGCTCCTTGGAAACCCCATGGGACAGTTCTACTCCTATAGGGTCGCTATGAGTCGGAATCGACTCAACGGCAACTGGTTTGGTTTTTTTTTGGTTTTTCTATATGATACTATTTTTCTTTGCTCAATGCACCTTCTTTACTGTTGTTAGATAACACTCACAAATACATACAAATACAAATATGTGTACCCAAGTGGAAAAGAAGGGAACTGGAGTTGTGATTTCCAGCTTTCCGTTGTATGTTTAATTTAACGAGCTAATAACAGTTATTCTTTGATATGTTTGAACTCTTATTAACATGAGATATTTTGTAAATATTAGAAATACAGACTTTAATTCAAATATTTTTAATGATTTATTTTAAACCTTTATTAGTTTATATTCTGAGTAGTGTTTTGAGAAGAAAATCCTGAGAAATGATTAATCTGTTGAAATACTAATCCAAGAGATCAAACAGTTACATTTTAAAGGCTGATGTCTTTTAATTAAATCAATCTGAATCTGTGGCCATTTAATCACTAGTACTATCTGCCTCATATAGTTTGCTGTGTTTTCTGTTGTAGGCTCAGATGAAGTTGAAACATGCCCAACAAGAATTAAAGGCCAAACAAGCTGAAGTTAAGAAGATGGATAGTGGTTACAGGAAGGATCAAGAAGCTTTAGAGGCTGTGAAGAAACTTAAAGAAAAACTTGAAGCTGAAATGAAAAAGCTAAATTATGAAGGTTTGCCTTTAAAGATATGATGTCAAATCATTAGGAAGTGGTGATTCTTGATAGAAATTAACTTAAATAAAAGAAATAAACAAGTAGGAAATAAGTTAACCGTGTTAATGGGTATTAGTATAAGAAGTATTTCTAAATATAGTCAAAAAAATTTATCTTACTATAGAATAGCCCTTTGAATTTGGAGAACTCTGTACTGAGAATTTCCTGCTTTAATCACTCTAAAGTACACTTGAAAATTCAAAAATGTCATTTGTATATCTTAACATTAATAGGCATTCAATTTGTATATCATTTCTTGGAATGAAAATTGTGTTATTTGTTGCAAATAATATCTATTTGACATACGATAGAAACTTGAACTTTAAACATTTTTATGTCATACTTACCAGAAATTTGTATTTCTCCTATGAATGCTTTGAAAATACAGTTCATTAATATTTTCCTTAAAACAGAATATTTGAGTTTCTAAAACTTGGTTTCAATTTACTTTTTATTTATTGTTCAGAAAACAGGGAAGAGAGCCTTTTGGAAAGGCGTAGGCAGCTGTCTCGTGATATCAGCAGACTGAAAGAAACATATGAAGCTCTCTTGGCCAGATTTCCCAATCTTCGATTTGCATACAAGTAAGAGATTTTTTTTTTTTTTTTTAATTTCATTGTGTTTTCAGTGAAGGTTTATACAGCAGTTTAAAAAAGTTCCCATTCAACAATTTCTCCAGCTGTTCAGTAACACTGGTTACATTCTTCACAGTGCGTGAGCTTTCTCATTATTTCTGTTTTGGATACAATCGAGAGATTTAAATGTTGAATTTTAACATAGTAATAACCAAGGCATTGTTTTTTTATTATTATTTGGAGGCACTAGGTGATACAGTTAATTCAGTTGGCTGCTAACTGAAAGGTTGGAAGTTCAAGTTCACCCAGAGGTTCCTCAGAAGAAAGGCTTGGCATCTACTTCTGAAAAATCAGCCATTGAAAACCCTATGGAGCATGGTTCTAATTTGACATACATGGGGTCACCATGATTCAGAATTGACTCAGTGCCTCTGGTTTTGTTTTTTTTCTTTAAGCTAGAAGACACCCTGAAAAATTTGTTAACGTTAAAATTTTGCATGAAAATTTTCCTTCACTGGTATTTTTCTTTAAATATTTATTAAAATGCATGAAATGTTGGGAGGGGAAACTCTTATAAAAATCTAATGGCTTCTGATACTATTAATCTTAAGACCAAAATGAGGGGAATTTAATCTCAGTTCAAAGTTTCTTTATTGTCATTAATGTTAATATCTATATTTATATTTACATTTTACAATTTGTTCTGTCTCATGGTTTTTTAACAGAACAATTACAGTAACCATATATATTATAAATATTAGAACATCAAAGTTGTTTTTGTTGTATACATAATCTAAATTAAAGTTCTTTTGATTGATTTAAAAATACATAGCTGACAGTTCATCTGGAACATTTTTACATTTTCATTTTGTTGAAGTTGTATGTTAAAAGTGTGATTTTTTTTTTTCTGTTTTCTAATCTAGGATTAATTTTTGTCAACTTTTCTATTTTAGGGATCCAGAGAAGAACTGGAATAGAAATTGTGTGAAAGGACTTGTAGCTTCTCTGATTAGTGTCAAAGATACTTCTGCAACCACAGCTTTAGAATTGGTGGCTGGGGAACGACTCTACAATGTTGTAGTAGACACAGAGGTAAATTGAGTTTAAGTAAAAAAAATTTAAAATTGTTCTATAGCTTGAAAAATTATGTGCTGGTGAAGAATTAAATACTTCCTTGATATTTTAAGTTTCTCCTAAGGTCATTTTAACTTTTCCAGGTAAAACAACTATTCAGTTAATGAGTTTTTAATAACTGTATTCCAGAGGAAGTCTCATGGTGACTCAGGAAGCCAGAATGTGTATTATTAATCTTAGAATTTTGATTGTTCAGGATAGAAGGCTCTAAATGTTCATTGATTGTGGATTCTAAATTAGTGCTATTTCCATTTGAATGTTTTCTATCATCTTTAATTTTTTTTTTGTTTTTATTAAATTTCAAATGTATAATGTTTTAGGTTACTGGTAAAAAGCTACTAGAAAAGGGAGAATTGAAGCGTCGGTACACTATAATTCCACTCAATAAAATTTCAGCCAAATGTATTGCTCCAGAAACCCTGAGGGTCGCTCAGAATCTTGTAAGTCTTATTTATATGTTTAATCTTACTTTTTTTCTTTTTTTTAATTAGAGGACATTAATGAGAACTTTTGGGAACATCACACAATTTTTAATTATGCTACAATTTATAAAAAGAATTAAGTTATAGGGTTTGTTCTCATGCATTTAAATGGCAAGAGAACAGAAATGTATCAGACTGGGATTCCCTTTGGCACTTCAAAGTGTAGTATTAGAATGTTTAAGCCTTAGGTCAAGTCACATGACTGTCAGTTGGGAGTAAATACAAAATTTCTCATTTCTAAGTTAGTAGTTAGGATTGAGTTTATAGATAAATATCCAGAATTCTTCAGTTTTTTTTTTTTTCATGTGAGATACACTTAAACTGCCCACCGTGACAATCAGTATTGCAGAGGTTCTTCTCTATCCCAGTTTGGCTAGATTGCCATCCAGCATATGGGCATGTATAGCAGGTGACCAGGATACCCACTCAGCTATTGAATTGGAGTAAAAGTGGCATGCCTACCAGTAAGAAAACAGATGAGTGCAAGGAAGTGTATTTGAAATGTTACTGTGGTTGTATAATACTAGGTAAAAACATGAAGCTAATTGTAACATTCAGCAGAGATTTCAGTTTTTGAGTATACAATCCAAGTGTATGAGTTGTAAAGACAGTTCTACAAAACCTAGATGTGCATTTGTAATTAACAGCTGCCTATATAGCTAACCAACTTAACATTTATACTTATAACCTAAAAGTAAAAGTGGATATAGAATGTCTTTTCTGAAATTGCGAAGCTTTCAATGAAAATGACTTCAAAATATAGTTATGTTGATATGTACGCTATCACGGGAAAGAAAGTGAATGCAGAGTAGTTGAAAGGTAGTGTTTTTGGTTGGTGCTTGCTTTACTTTAAAAAAATCACCTTTGGGTCTAAAAGGCTCAGAAAGTTACTTCTGCCTTAGGTCAAGTCTCAGTATTAGAAATAAATTGAGATTTCAAGCAACAGCAGAAGTACTTCCACTCAGTTCCCTTTGCGAGACCTGTTTAATGGCAGCTGCTCTGTCAAAGGACAATGCTGAACATCTCTTCCTTAGAGCTGCCTTTGTTGCAATTTCCCCTTGTTACTGAGCTCCATAAGGGAAGTTTAGTTGCTCAAAAAGATGGGCATAGTTAGACAATATAAACAAAGGTTGAGGAAAAGAGGCAGTTGGTTCAAAATAAAGGACTGAGGGATGTTTTTTTATCTGTCTTTTTTATTATTGGTTGTGTTTTTATTTCTGTAAATGGCAAGTGACTGCACTAGCATTTTTAATTTAGATGAAAATGTATTCACTGTGGAACAACCAAATTACTAATAATTGAAACAAAACATTTTATATAATTGTGTTGATCCAGGAATAGCTGTACTTGAATTAAGAAAGGTGTGTGTAAAAAGTTCATTTTGGATTTAGAAACTGGCTATTGGCTCTTGCTTGGTAGAAACTCTTATACTGCCTGCCAGGTACTTTAGCTAAACATTTTACTCAGCAATAGATCTTTCAATGTTTAAATCTGTATTTTTCCCCCCCAAAAAACTTCTAAGTTTTACATAGCTGTTTTGAAAGTTTAGAAAGAATTGTAGTGTTAGGTGAGTAATACTTAAATTTCTATTTAGCAGTTCTTAGTGGTATATAAAATAATATTTGAAAGGAAAGGAAGAAGTACATACTATAGCCTGTCGTTTTTTCCACAGGTTGGCCCTAACAATGTTCATGTGGCTCTTTCCCTGGTTGAATACAAACCAGAACTTCAGAAAGCCATGGAATTTGTTTTTGGAACAACATTTGTTTGTGACAATATGGATAATGCCAAAAAAGTGGCCTTTGATAAAAGGATAATGACTAGAACTGTAACTCTAGGAGGTGATGTATTTGATCCCCATGGGACATTGAGTGGAGGTAAGTTTTATATTATTTTGTCCTCACAATTCTGGGTGGTAAATAGGCGATTTTTTTTTTTTTTTAAATAGGGCATATTGGGGTTGAAATGCATTAACACAACTATATTCCTAGTTTTTTGCTTAGGACCAGAGCCTCGCTTTTGTGAATCACAGCCTAATTGTTTTTACAGAAGACCATTTCTAAAGCTTTAGTGTAAATCTGAGACTTGAGTTTAGTTGTTTAATATGTATATAATAATACTGAGAAATAATACAACGACTTAGCCTTCAAAGAGCTCATAGTCTATTTATCTCAAGCAAGTCCATTTCTGTTTATCTTAAGCAAGTCCGTTCCTATTTGTTTATTCTCTCTTACTTTTTGCCCTATCAGGATATTCTAGTCACTGGGAAACAAAGTCTTTTTATTAAGTAAATTTTTTGCCTAACTACTCACTTTTCCTTTAGGGATCATTAACCTCTAATTTGTGTACATTTCATTGCTGCTACTGTTCTGTCAAAAGTAAAACAAAAGTTAAATCTGTCCTTGAGATGATGCCTTAAGAAAGGAATTCTTAGATAATGACCATATTCTTCTTTTACTATTTGCCACATCAAGACCCCAGATCTGTGTTAAGTGATAATATAACAACACTGAATAGTAGTTTGCACCAGCCAGTGTTTTGAGATTATACTATCCAATATGGTAGCCACTATCCCTGTGTGGCTCTTTACATTTAAATTTAAATTAATTAAAATTAAATAAAAATAAAAAATAATGTCTTCAATGCACTAGCTATATTTCTAGCGTTTAACCACAAATGGTTAGTGAGTAACTGGATAATGCAGATATAGAACATTATTCTCTGAAGCCCTGTTCTAAAGCCTTTACATAATTAACTCATTTAATCCTTATTAAACTATGAGGTAGGCATATTACTATCTTCCTCAGTATACAGTTACATAAACTAAGGTATACAATGGTTAAATAACTTTCTAGTAAGTGGCCAAGCTTCTGAATTTGAATTCAGGCAGTCTGGTTTCAGAGTTTATGCTCTTAACCAGTAGATTTTTATACTGCCTCTTGTGATATCAAATGACTTGATGTCTTTCTAGACCAAGAAAACAATAGACTAATGAATTACATGATCAAGTATCAAGTTTCCCAGTAAAAAATAAGATTACTAGTATCTGGAATTGGAAAATAAGAAGAGACCAAATACGTTTAAATACCTAACAGAAGAAAATTTTTAGATTTGATTTACTTGTATGCTTTCGAACTTTTTACTTCAGGCATAGCAGATATGTAACCCGGTATCATATTAACCTAGTGCTCATAATAGCATTGCTAACTGACCTTGACACTCTCCCACCAAACCTACACAGTTTCCTTACCAACATAGTACCACAGCCTGCCACTGCCAGATGATTATAGTTGTAAATTAAACCGGTTTACTCTCTTTGCTCTGTCATAGCTTAGGCCTCCAAATCTCAGTAACTTACAAGTTTATTCCATAACTGCTAGTCAGTTGCCTCTGCTTCATATTACTCTCATTCTGTGACTCAGGTTGAAGGTGAAGACCCTGTCTTGAACATACTTTTCTCATGGCAACCAAAAAACCAAACCCATTGCCATCGAGTCAGTTCCGACTCATAGTGACCCCATAGGGCAGAGTAGAACTGACCCATAGGGTTTTCAAGGAGCAGCTGGTGGATTCGAACTGCTGACCTTTTAGTTAGCAGCTGTAGCTCTTAACTACTGTGCCAGCAGGGCTCCTTCTCATAGAGAAGGGAAAGCAAACGGTCAGTCACGTACAACCTCTTAAAGCTTTATTTTCAGATGAAATGGCCAGACCAAGTCACATGACCGAGTTGGATGTTAGTAGAGAGGAAACTGAGCCTGGGAGGGATGGACTCAGTAAGCAGGGCAGTGTATACTTTGAATAAATAATCTACCACATCTGCTTAGAAGTATTTCTTATCAATTGTGTAATGTCGTAAGGTCCAGATGATAGGATAAATTCTGTAGTTTCATGAGAGAAATGTAAAAGATTTTGCTGTTGAATATTTCAAGTATAATTATCTTAAATGTTTTATTGCTTGCTGTGTACGTAATAGCTTAATACCCAAGGTCTGTTTGAACTTGCCTCCATCAGGTGCTCGATCCCAGGCAGCTTCTATTTTAACCAAATTTCAGGAACTCAAAGATGTTCAAGGTGAACTGAGAATTAAAGAGCGTGAGCTACAGGCTCTAGAAGAGGAATTAGCGGGTCTTAAAAATGTTGCTGAAAAGTAAGAAGTCTGTTGGATTAAACCTTTTTTTTTTTGTCAGTGATGTGCACGGTAGAAAATGAAAGAAAATTTACTTTTATGTAAAGAAATAAAACTTCTAATTTAAAAAAAATCCTTGGTTTTATTTAAAATATTTAAATGAATTATGAGTTGATAACTTGTCAGTTATTTTTCTATTTTTCTTGATTATAAAAGTATTATCTGTTATAAGGAATTAGAGAAATCTAATTAAGCAATAATACTAAAAAAACTCAGCCAAATATTCCATTCTCCACTGCTGAGATATGCACTGTTAACAATTCACTAAGATTGGTGTGGAAAACCCTTACATACTCTGGAGGCTGATACCAGAGGATACTTGAGTTCTTGGTTTGGAATAATAGGATGTAATATAGCACTGATGATTAGGCGTCTGCACCAAGTTTAACAGCGTTATGGCTGTCCTTCAGATAATTGAAGATCATCAAAGGAGAAAGTAAACAAATTCTTGTTGGAAAGTCACTGTTAAAATGTTTTCACACTTGTCTATGCCAAGAAATTTGGAAGACAGCTCTCTGGCCAACTGAATGGAAGAGATCCATATTTGTACCCATTCCAAAGAAAAGTGATCCAACAGAATGTGGAAATTATCGAACAATATCATTAATATATCACACACAAGTAAAATTTTGCTGAAGATCATTCAAAAGCAGTTGCAGCAATACATCAACAGGGAACTACCAGAAATTCAAGCTGGATTCAGAAGAGGATGTAGAACAAGGAATATCATTGGTGATGTCAGATGGATCCTGGCTGAAAGCAGAAAATACCAGAAAGCTATTTACCTGTATCTTACTGACTGTGCAAAGGCATTGAACTGTGTGGATCATAACAAATCATGGATAACTGCAAAGAATGGGAATTCCAGAACATTTGTGCTCGTGAGGAACCCATACATGGATCAAGAAGCAGTCGTTCAAACAGAACAACGTGATACTGTGTGGTTTAAAGTCAGGACGGGTGTGTGTCAGGGTTGTATACTTTTACCATACTTATTCAGTCTGTATGCTTGAGCAAATAATCTGAGAAGCTGGACTGTAGAAGAAGAATGGGGCATCAGGATTAGAGGAAGACTCATTAACAACCTGCATTATGAAGCTGCCACAACCTTCCTTGCTGAAAGTGAAGAGAACCTGAAGCACTTAACTGGTGAAGATCAAAGACTGTAGCCTTCAGTATGGATTATACCTCAACATAAAACAAAAATCCTCACAACTGGACCAATAAGCAACATCATGATAAACAGAGAAAAGATTGAAGTTGTCAAGCATTTCATTTTACTTGGATCCACAATCAACACCCATGGAAGCAGCAGTCAGGAAATTAAAAGATGCATTGCATTGGGCAAATGTGCTGCAAAAAACCTCTTTAAAGTGTTAAAAAGCAAAGATGTCACTTTAAGGACTAAGGTGCACCTGACCCAAGCCATGGTGTTTTCAGTTGCCTCGTGTGCATGTGAAAGCTGGACGATGAATAAGGAAGACCAAAGAAGAACTGACGCCTTTGAATTATGGTGTTGGCGAAGAATACTGAATATACCATAGACTGCCAGAAGAACGCACAAATCTGTCTTGGAAGAAGTACAGCCAGAATGCTCATTAGAAGTGAGGATGGCGAGACTTCTTCTCACATTCTTTGGACATGTTATCAGGAAGGACCAGTCCCTGGAGAAAGACATCATGCCTGGTAAAGTAGAGGGTCAGAGAAAAAGGGGAAAACCCTCAATGAGATGGACTGACACAGTGGCTGCAACAGTGTGCTCAAGTATAGCAACAATTATGAGGATGGTGCAGGACCAGGCAGTGTTTCATTCTGTTGTACATAGGGTCGCTATGAGTTAGAACCGATTCGCCAACACCTGACAACAACAAATGGGAACCTTCAGCATTTTTTCTGTTTGTGTATAATATAGGTATATGCAATTTTTTGTTTTCTCAAAGTTGGGATCATGCTATTTAATGTAACTTTTTTTTCTATGTCTACATTATTCACTCAGTAAATACTGAGTGCCTTCTATGTGCCAAGTGCTCTTTTAGGAGCTGTGGATACAGCAATGAATTGAACAGATAAATATCTTTGCCTTTATCAACATAGTTGAGGAAATAGGTAATAAAGAAGACAAATTGGTAAAACATGTTTTGTTAAATAGTACTGAGACGAAACAAATAAAACAGAGATGGGGTATGAACTATCCACAGTTAAGAAGTATTGAAATTCTAGATTGGTGGCCAGGGAAATCTTCCTTGAGATTATGACTGTTGAGTGAACTCCAGAAATATGTGGGTGTGAACTGAGTATATGGTTATATGAGAGAAGAAATCTCACTTGCTTTAAAAACTTATAAAGTACATCATTTAGAAGTTTAGTTATTTAAATTATGTTTAATGAAACCTATTTATTGAAAGATTACTTTTAGTGTTTTATAAAATTAAGACTTTCTATAAATATTTATTATGGATCTTGGTATTTTAGAGTTATTTAACTTTAGTAACTAAATCAGACTTCAATTTGATTTCTCAGAAATTTGACATGAGAGTCATCATAACTTTTTAATCATTGTCATCTTACATATTGCTTATATTATAAAGTGGGTTTATTTTAGTTAAGAGCCTGTAGTTTGCATGCCTCAAACACCAGGAAAATTATGATTATTATTATTTCTCTTTTTCTAAGGTATCGCCAACTAAAACAGCAGTGGGAGATGAAAACTGAGGAGGCAGATTTATTACAAACTAAGCTGCAGCAAAGCTCGTATCACAAGCAACAAGAAGAATTAGATGCCCTTAAGAAAACCATTGGTAAGATAAAAACATTCTATGCTTAATCTCTATTTCTACTAATACTCTCTGTCTTACTTTAAATATTTAGAAGATGCTGTGCTGTTGTTCAGGCACATATGGGAGTTTCTTTTTCTCCAGTCTAATGATTATGAAATGAGATACTGCATTAGCCTTTTAATTTGCGTTTCCCTGTCTGTTGGTGAAATGCAGCATCTTTTTTGTATGTTTATTGACCCTTTGGGTTTCTGCTTCTGGCTTTCCTATTCATTCATTTTGCCCATTTTTCTATTGGGTTGCTTGTGTTTTTTTTTCCCATTGTTGTCATAGTTAAGAGTTCTTGCAGCTTATGTGCACTGCAAATGTCTTTTTTGCCTTGTGTGATTGTCTTTTGACTTTGTAGTATTTTTGTTATACAGACAGTTTTACTGTTTAATGTAATGAAATTTATAGCTGTCCATCCCTAATGTTATGAAACTATCACACTTTTAAATTAGAATTTAATTATATATGGTAGTTTTTATTTTTGCTCAGGATAACATTCACACATCTGTTTCCCCTCTAATATTTTTATCCTACAATGAAAAGTAGTATAGGAAATTGTGCAGACGTGGCTTCCTCAGTGGTATGTGTACCTAGGTCATAACATTAGCAGTGTATGTCACTTGTGATGGTCACATGTCCATGCTGTTTTGCTCTTTAAATTTTTCTTCTGCAAATTTGCGGGGAAATTTTTCTTGTGATTCATCCTAGACGGCTTCTCTCAGTATTTCTCTTCTTTAATAGCAGCTTTCTTGAATATGTATGGAAACCCTGGTGGCTTAGTGTTTAAGAGCTATGGCTGCTAACTAAAAGGTCAGCAGTTCGTATCTACCAGGTGCTCGCTGGAAACCATATGGGGCAGTTCTGCTCTGTCCTGTAGGGTCGCTATGAGTTGGAATCAAGTCGACAGCAGCGTTTTTCTGTTGTTTTTTTTTAATATGTATAAATGGGCAAAGAACACAAAGTAAACTTGTTTGTGAATTTAATTGTAAGCTTTCTGATGCCCAAAATAAAGGGAAAATACTGAAGTTATACTCAGTTCTAGTTTTAGGAAGCATGCAGGTTTGCTAGATGAAGAGCTGTGATCTTTTTAACAAGTTGCTTCAAAACCTTTTTTGGAAATAGCTAAGTTATAGATAATGTGTATATTAATCAAGTTCATACAATTAGAAATAATTTCTTTGCAGATCTTTAGATAATTTGATCATAATCTTTAGGCAGGATCTATGTTTCAACATACCATTTCTAGAATAAGTTTGTGTTGTTGGGTGCCATCGAGTCATTTCCGACTCATAGCGACCCTGTGTACAACAGAACGAAACACTAGCCGGTCCTGCAGTTTGGAACAGTTATTTAAATTTTTTTTAAACTCTAGCCTCTAACTTTTCAGACCATTTGTTCTATTAAAAGTTGAATTTATAAGTTATTGTCATAACTGTAATAGTTAGAAGACCTAATTTAGTCACATTTGCCTACTTTATGATGCAGAGGAAAGTGAGGAAACATTAAAAAACACCAATGAAATTAAAAAAAAAGCAGAAGAAAAGTATGAAGTATTGGAGAATAAAATGAAAAATGCAGAAGCTGAAAGAGAGAGAGAACTGAAAGATGCTCAGAAAAAACTAGATTGTGCCAAAACAAAGGCAGATGCTTCTAACAAAAAAATGAAAGAAAAGCAACAGGTAATACCTTTCTTGAAATGGAGACAATTTTTAAAGTCAGTATAGAACTGAACGTGGTAGAACATCTCTGGTTAATCTTATTGTCAGTATTTGTTAGTAAATCCAAAAGCTGTGTGTGCTTTTTTGGGAAATAAATTAAGCGTCTTAAAAGTCAAAATAGTCTCTCATGCAAAGTCTCTAATTTGATGTCACATAATTGTGAGTATGGGCTGCATTAACTTGCTAAGTTTAGGGAAGGTTCAAAGTTACTTTTTGGTAAATGCTTCCTTCGGGAGTGGGCCAAAGCTTATATCATGAAGTAGAGCTGTGTCATTATCAGACATTGAGCCAGTTGATATTTATATCAGGTAAGTGTCTGTGAATTTTTACTATAGGAGGATGATGTAAGACAAAGTATGTTACATTTACAAAGTACTTTTCAGTTGTGGATTGGTGATGTCTTATTGTATTTTTCAGATAGCACCAAAGCTGGAATTTAAACCCAGACTTTTCTGTCTCCAAAGACTATGTTCTTAATCACTGTCATAATATTTCAGTTAAACCTACTTTTCATCTATTTTTTTTAAATTTATTTTGATATTTTGTTGTTGAGAATATACACAGCAGAACAGACACCAGTTCAACAATTCCTACATGTACAATTCAGCAACATTGATTACATCATTCAAGTTGTGCAGTTCAGTGACATTGATTACATTCTCTTTTTCCAAGCTGTTTCTCTCCCCTTAACAAACTCACTGCCCCCTAAATTTCCTATCTAATCTTTCAAGTTGCTGTTGTCAGTTTGATCCCATATAGATAGGTCTTAAAAGAGCACAGTGCTCAAGACAGACATTCTTTAATAGTTAAGTGAACTATTGTTTGGTTTTAAGGGGACTTCAGGGAATATTTTTGGTTAAGGTTTAAAGGTTATCTCAGGGCAATAGTTTCAGGAGTTCAACCAGCCTCCACAGCTCCAGAAAATCTGGATTCCATCAGAATTTGAAATTCTGTTCTGCATTTTCCCCTTCTGATCAGGATTCTTCTATAGAATCTTTGATAAAAATGTCCAATAATGGTAGCCAGGCACTGTCCAGTTCTTCTTGTCTCATGACAAAGGAGGCAGTTTTCATGGAGGCAGTTAGCCAGCCACACATTCCATTTTCTTTTCCTATTCCTGACTCTCCTTTCTCTGTTGCTTCAGGAGAATAGAGACCAATTGTTGTACCTTAAATGGTTGTTTGCAAGCTTTTCAGACCCCGGGGTACTATACAACGAAGTAGGAGGTGCAACAGAAGCACTAAACACATTATTAGACCAATTATCTGGGATGTCCCATGAAACTGTGACCCTAAGCCTCCAAACCAAGGAACCAAATCCCATGAGGTTTTTGGCTGTACATAAGCAGCCTCAGCGTTTATTTTCTACCCTATGATTTTATCATCAAATAGTTGGACAAAGTATTTTCTAATGGACTAACAAGTATAATGAGAAAGACAAAAATTGAAACACTACCTTTTTGCACATTGACTAATTATGGTTAAAAAAAAGCTTAACCTCTGCTAATTCAAAAGAATGTTATATCTCTTCTGATTCATGTGTAGAATTCTATATTTTTATTCCCTATTGGAATAAAAGGATAAAGGAAATAACCTGTGCAAAGTGTTTGAACTCATGAAAACATGAGTTTTTGGTAGCTGAATGATAACTAGGCCGTGGGTCTTATCTGCATGAGAATTCTATTAATCTTGTGAGCATGTATGTATTTATTTTTTAGTAGTTAATAAATTGTATGACTGCACAGATAATGTGTTTCTTATAGGAAGTTGAAGCTATCACTCTGGAGCTGGAAGAGCTCAAGAGAGAGCAAGCATCCTCTAAACAACAGCTTGAAGCTGTCAATGAAGCTATCAAATCCTATGAAGATCAGATTGAAGTAATGGCAGCTGAAGTGGCTAAAAATAAGGTAAGAGTTACTTATCAAATTGGAAAAATTATGAATGCTAATTTGTTTATGAAATGTTGGCTTGAAGAAGATGTTTGACTTTAGTGCTGTAAATCTCTTCACTGCTCTTGTGATAATAGCTTGATGCAAAAATAGTGATTACTGATTCAGAAAAAGTCCTGAAATAATATTACTAATGTTTTAGTCGGGGCCTACTTCAGAGACAAAACATACTGTAATTTGAACAGATGACATATAATATAAACAATTTTTAACCATAATAGGAGTTTGGAATAATGGGAGATTCTCAGGAATATAGCAGTAGTAGATAGAGGGAACAGCCATTACCCCTAGGGCTGAGGCAGTGCACCCAAGGAAGGAATATACCTGAAAGAGAGCCCCACCATGCCCAACTGGTCCTATCTACACTGCATCCAGCAGAAATTCTGTTGTTTCCAGTATGGACACTACACCTATCCCTTTTTTCTGGTGGTAACACAATTTTTCTCCTGTTGGTAAATTCATTAAAAAAAAAAAAAAAAAAAAACCCGTTGCCATCAAGTTGATTCAGACTCATAGCGACCCTATAAGACAGAGTAGAACTGTCCCCTTGAGCTTCCAAGGAGTGGCTGGTGGATTCAAACTGTAGACCTTTTGGTTAGCAGACAAGCTCTTAACCAGTACACCACCAGGGCTCCAAAACCAAACCCATTGCTGGGGAGTCGATTCTGACTCATAGCAACCCTATAGGACAGAGTAGAACTGCCCCATAGGGTTTCCAAGGAGCAGCTGGTGGATTCGAACTGCCGACCTTTTGGTTAGCAGCCAAGCTCTTAACCGTTGTGCCACCAGGGCTCCAGGTAAGTTCATTAGTCGTCTTAAACGGAGATACAAAGTGTAGAGGGTTAGGTGACCATCTGCCTGTAATCATATTGCCATCTATCTGGCAGAAATCTGCAAGGCTATCTTTTAATAGACTATCTAAATGTTACCTTACTACTGTCTTCTAATTGTTTGTTTCAGGAGTCAGTAAATAAAGCTCAAGAAGAGGTGACCAGGCAAAAAGAAGTGGTAACAGCCCAAGACAATGTCATTAAAGCAAAATATACAGAAGTGGCAAAACATAAAGAACACAACAATGATTCTCAGCTTAAAATTAAGGAATTAGACCACAATATCAGCAAACATAAACGGGAAGCTGAAGATGCTGCTGGGAAGGCATGTTTTTGTTGTTCATTTTTACCCTTAATAATCAAATTTTTGTATCCCAATTCTTGAAGTATTCCAGTATCTATTCAGTGAAGGACTCAGTGTAAGTTGTAGGACTACTGCCTAACATAATTTTGAGGGTAGAAATGGCTTACAGCTATCTTCACTGCTTTTTAGCACAAGTGTTTTAAATTATACTTCAGATATTTGTGCCCATCTATAAGATGTATTTACCAAATAACCATGGAAATGACTTTTTTTAATCTCCAAATATTCATAGAACTAATATATTCATAGAATTGATTACTATTAGTAAAAATAACATACATTCTTTATTTCAAATTGAATTAAAGAACTCACAGAACTATACATCCTGTCAACTTCTAAAATACAGGATTTAATTGGCCCCTCAATATCCATATGAGCATCATTACTGTCAATTTTTGCAGCTTTATCTGAAATCTGATATTTTAGCAGCCTGTTACCTTTTTCTCCTACTATTTTTTAGTCACTCTTAAAATTTCTTCCTTTCATGTATCAGTGCTTTTTCTTTAAGTTTTTAAAGAGAACACATGCTTTTGCAGAAATTTATTTCTTGGTTGAGAGACTGTACCCATGGAGTCTTAATAATTCGCCTCTCATATGTTTTATGAATGTGTCACACTTCTGTGCATTTTTAATGCCCAGGATCTTTTTTTAGCATCCTAAAAACACGAGATTTAACATAAAAAAAATTATCAATAATATAAAGCAGTCTCCCTACCATCTGAAAGACTCATGGATTTCTATTTGAGTTCATTACTTGGTTTAAAAAAAAAAAAAAATTTATGGATACATTACAATATCTCATTTTATTTATTTCTGTTGATTCCATGTTAGTGGACTCACTGAAATGTTACCAATGTCAGTAGCACTGCTAACAGTTTTTTTGGTAATTGAAAATGCAAGTATTGGTGATTGCTAGGAGATTTTACTTATAATTAAAGGGATTTAAAAAAGGGACTTTCAAGTAGAGCTGCTAAAAAGTCAATGATTCTTTGAAATTCATAGTTTATCAAAATTGCATACCTACTAGTATCAGATCATATGTTAGTACTGAAGATAAGAATGAGCAACATATACATAGAATGCCTCCATAGAGCTTACAGATAAGATTGGCAGGGAAGATAGACTATAAAGAATAATTTTACTTTGGAACCTAGAAGTGAGACTATACCTATTCATAAGGGTAAACAAATTGGCAAGGATTGGAATCTACCAGTCTGAACCTTAAACAATTCTAATAAAGGAACGTCTTTCGTAAGCACTATACTTGGAAATTTTTGGTCAGTTGTATTATATGAAGTATTACACTGTGCCTTGCCAAAAGGACAGTGGAGATGGAGTTAATGTTTAGGGCAATTTTTTTTTTTTTTTCCTTAGATTGTAGTTCCAAAAGAGAGAATTATAAGATATCAATCAAGATTAAGCTTTCACGATTTTACCAGATCTATTTCTATTCTATAGGAATTTTTAACTTCACAAGTTGTTTTTTGAAGCAATAGATTGGGTTTGGTAAAATCTGAAGGAGGTTCATCTGACTTGTATTTCATTCTATCAGAGATATGTATATTTTGTAAAAATTTCTCTGTGTTGGCTTCTCTTTTAATGCTTAAGTAATAGGAAAGTCATTTTCTATACTGTTTGTTTTTCTGAATTAACTTTTTCATAAAAATACACAGCAAAACCTGCTCCCATTCCACAGTTCTAGACATAATGATCAGTGACACTGGTTACATTCTTCACATTATGTCAACATTCTGTTTATTTCTGTTTTAGTTCTTTCACTTCCATTTACTTAATCTCCCTGCCCCAACCATCTCATGTATGATTTAAAACAGCTGTTGACACCCTTTGGTCTTTATATATATATATACATATGTGTGTGTATGTATGTGTATATATATGTGTGTATGTATATATATATACACGCTTATATATATATTTTTATTTTAAACACAGTATTCAAGGGTGACAATCTTTATACTCTTTGGGCTAAACCGTTACTTAGTTTAAAGGTGACTTCAGGGGATAGTTTTAATTCACGGTTTGAAGACCAACTCAGGGCCATAGTCTTAGACACTTCTCCAGCCTCAATAGGTCCTGTAAGTCTAAATTCTTAAGGAATTTGAAGTTCTCTTCTACATTTTTCTCCCTTTTTATCAGGATTCATCTCTTGTGTTCCTGATCACAATATTCAGTAGTGGTGGCCTGACACCATCTTTTTCTTCTGGTCTCAAGGTGGAGGAGGCAGTAGTACATGTAAACAAACAGTTAGTCCTATAGTCCAGTTCCTTCTCTGATTCTTGGGTTTCCTTCTTTTTTTTGTTCCAGATGAATAAAGACCAATAGTTGTATCTTAGATGGACGCTTAGAAGCTTTTAAGACCCCAGCCATTACTCACCATAGTGGGAGGTAGAACATAAACTTTAAGAACTGTATTATGTCAATTGCCCAGATTGTCTCACGAGACCACGGCCCTAAGGCCAAACCAGGACAACTGATCCCATGAGATGATTGGTTATGTCTAATTAGTATGAGCATCTGTAGCCTCCCCTGCCTTTTTGTTGTTATTGTTGCAAAACTATATACAACCTAGTATTTGCCCATCATCCCTTTTCCCAGTGTACAGCTTATTGATGTCAGTCACTTCAGTCATGCTGTGCAAACTTCACCCATAGTCTGTTCTACCTTTCCCATTTCTATAAACAAAGTGACTGCTACCTAGAGAGTACTTTTCCCTCTTTCCCTCACCCCCCATCCCTGGTAACCACTAATGAATGTTAGTTTCTGTGTATTTTCCTATTCATGTCATTTCATAAGAGTGAGAACATACAATATTTGTTTTTTTGTGATTGACTTATTTCATTCAACATAGTATCCTCCAGGTTCATCCACATTGTAAGAGGTTTTGGGAACTCATTTTACATTATCATTAAGTAGTATTTCATTGTATGTATGCATCACATGTTACTTATCCATTCAACCATTGATGGGCACTTAGGTTGTTTCCATCCTTTTGCTATTGTGTATAGTGCTGCAATGAACATATGTAGGAATACATCTGTTTATGTCACTTCTATTAGATCCCTAGGGTATATACGTAGGAGTGGAATTCCTAAGTCATATGGCATCTCTAAGTCTAGTTGTTTGAGGAACTGCCAGACTGTTTTCCACAATTGCTGTACCACTTTGCATTCTCACTAGCAGTGGATGAGGATTCAGTTTCTCCACATCCCCTCTAACACTTGTTATTTTCCACTTTTTAATCTTAGCCATCCTAGTGGGAATGAAGTGGTATCTCGTCGTGGTTTTGATTTGCATTTCTCTGATAGCTAATGTTGTTGAGCATCTCTTCATGTGTCTGTTGACCGTTTGAGTATCCTCTTTGGTGAAGTCTGTTCCTATCGTTTGCCCAGTTTTTCATTGGGTTATTTATTTTTTTGTTGTTAAGTTGTAGATGTTTTGTTACATATTATATGTTACATATTAGATCATTGTTGGTTTTATCATTCCCAAAGATTTTTTTCCCAGTCAGTAGGTTGTCTCTTCACTCTTTTGATAAAGTCTTTTGATGAACGTATTTAACTTTTCTGAGGGCCCAGTTACCTATCTTGTTTTCTGTTGCTTATGCATTCATTCCATTTGGTAATCTGTCACAAAAAAAATTAGGTCCCAAACCTTTGCTCCTGTATTTTCTTCCAAGAACTTTATGGTTTTAGATTTAATATTTAAGTCTTTGATCCATTTTGAATTAGTTTTTGTGTACAGCTCAAGGTATGGATCTTATTTTTTTTACATGTGGAAATTCAGTTTTGCCAGCACAATTTGTTGAAGAGACTATTCCTTCCCCATTGAATGGATTTGACTTCTTTGTCAAAAATGAATTAACCGTAGATGTTTGGGTTTATTTCTGGATTTTCAGTTCTGTTCCCTTCATTAGCAGGCTGTTTTGATTACTGTAGCTGTGTAGTGTTTTGAAGTCAGGAAGTGTGAGGCCTCCTACTTTGTTCTTCTTCAGAATTGCTTTGGCTATTTGTGTCTCTTATCTTTTCATGTAATATTGAGAATTAGTTTTTCCATTTCTGTAAAGAATGTTGGAATTTTGATCAGGATTGCATTGTATGTATAGATCACGTTAGCTAGTATTGACAGCTTGACTGTATTAAGTCTTTCCATCTATTCAGGTTTTCTTTAGTCTCTTTCAGCAGTGTTTTATAATTTTCATTGTATAAGTCTTTTACATTCCTGGGTAAATTTATTCCTAGACATTTTATTCTCTTAGATGCTATTATAAATAGAGTTGTTTCTTAATCTCCTTCTCATTGCTGGTATATAGAAACCCAACTGATTTTTGTGTGTTGATCTTGTATCCTGCAACTTTGCTAAATATCTATTAGTTCTAGAAGCTTTTTGTAGATTCTTTGGGGTTTTATATGTATAGGATCATATACAGTCTGTTGTTTTTGAGCCTATGCTCCAGGTAAAAAAAAAAAAAAACTCATCCTTACATCTGTTAACAGTGAACCTCATTTTTTAAATGAGTAATTGTGGAGTTTCTCTACAAATATTTGATTTTAAATTGACAAATATTAAGAAACTGGCTTATAAATGTAGGTTTTTAAGCAGTCATAAATCCTGCTATTTTCATATGTGTTTAGGTATCCAGAATGTTGAAAGATTATGACTGGATTAACTCAGAGAAACACCTCTTTGGCCAACCCAATAGTGCCTATGATTTCAAAACTAACAACCCAAAAGAAGCTGGCCAAAGACTTCAGAAGTTGCAAGAAATGAAGGAGAAGCTAGGAAGAAATGTCAATATGAGAGCCATGAATGTACTGACAGAAGCTGAAGAGCGGGTAAGTCCGTTTCCTGTTAATATCTGGCCACTTTGGGACATTCATGGCTCTATGTTACCCCTTAGGCAATTACAAGAGTCAGCTTTTGCTTCATGTCCTTAGTGCCTGTTCTACATTTCTTAATTTCTTGCTTTTCTTATTCTTTCTTTCTTTCTTTTTTTTTTTTTTTTTTTTTGCTTCATCAGTTGTTTGGATATTCTGTTGTACCTCGAATGACTTTTCCACTGGCTTTTGCACTTTGTCATAAGCATGTTCTACTTTTTCTTGGTATATAAAAAAAATCACTACTTTTTAATCCCGTTTGCTCCTCACATTTCTGTCATTTCCTTTACTGGCCTTGAAAGGCCTTCAAAAATAAGCTGTACTGCTGTCTGCCTTCTTACCAGTCACTTCATAACTAACTGCTGTCTTCCTTTGACTCTAGTGTATACTAGAACCATTATATAAGTAATGAGTAAAACTGTTTTATAAGTAATCACTGTTTTACTAATCCATAAACCTAGTAGCATCTTCTCAATTTTAATGCTCTCACTTACTTGATAATGTTATCCATCACCCCTTACAAAACTCTGATAATCTAAGAAGGAAAGTTTAATATCATCTAATGTTGAATTTTAGAGGCCATGTTACTAGAAAAACCCAGAGAGCAAAGCAGTCCCTACCCTTGAGGGCCACATAGGAAATAGCAGCCTTAATAATTTTACATAATGTCCCATACATTACTTTAATTCTGCAATATTATGCTCCTTACATCTTCTTTAATTCTGCAAAATTCTGTTTGAATTTGCAAATTAGAACCAGGCTAATGAGAGAGCTGCAAAATTGACAGTACTTATAAGCTGAATTACTTGTAAGAAATTTTCTTGTCATGAGGTTTTTAAAACTGTGATTGATATTAGTATCTACAAAGAATCTCAGTTATATTAGACACCAGACAGGCTAAAAACATAGGTGTTGTGGTCTCTGTAAAATCCTGTTCCTGGTTTTCATTTCTTTATTAAACCTTTGCAGTGTATGGCATATTCATTAAGAAAATCTTTGGTCTGAGTTTGAGATGTATGACATTACAAAACTTGTTTGCTTTTACTTATTTACTTTTATTAGATAATGATAACAGAGTCTAATACTTTTTTAACAGAATTTACCAGCTCCCGTCTTTTTACCAGAAAAGATCTATTGTTGATTAGCAAATGGCCTTTGTTTTTGTTGTGTTTTGTGTCTGTCCACGTAAGAAACTGTATTTGAGTTATGCAAGGAATAAGATTTAAAAAAAAAAAAAATTGAGAGGAGATTTTGGGAGCTTGTCTATAAAGCAGAGGGACAGTAAGGAAGAGAGCAGAACTGACTGGGGTTTTGTGTGTGTGTGTGCTTTAGGTGGAAGTTTACAGCTCAAGTTAGTTTCTCATACAAACATTTACACACACATTGTTATGTGACCCTAGTTGCTATCCCTGTAATGTAACTGCATATTCCTCTTTTCCACCCCAGATTTCCCATGTCCATTCAATTAGGTCCTATTCCTTTCTGCCTTCTCATCTCGCTTCCAGACAGGAGCTGCCCATTTAGTCTCATGTATCTACTCAAACTAAGAAGCACACTCTTCATGAGTATCATCTCATGTCTGATAGTTCCGTTTATCCTTTGTCTGAAGAGTTGGCTTCAGTAATGGTTTTAGTTCTGGGTTAACAGAGTCTGGGGGCCATGTCTTCTGGGGTACCTGTAGTCTCAGTCAGGCCATTAAGTCTGGTCTTTTTACTAGAATTTAAGTTCCGCACCCCACTTTTCTCCTGCGCCTTCAGGGACTCTGTTGTTTTCCTTCTCAGGGTGGTCATTGATGGTAGCCAGGCACCATCTAGTTCTTCTGGTCCCAGGCTGATGGAGTCTCTGGTTTATGTGGTCCCTTTTGTCTCCTGAGCTAATATTTTCCTTACGTCTTTGGTATTCTTCATTCTTCTTTTCTCCAGGTGGGCTGGGACCAGTTGATGCATCCTAGATGGCCACTTGCTAGCTTTTAAGACCCCAGATGCCACTTGTGGGTGGAGTTTTTAAGGGAGAATATGAAGCCTTGAAATGTGAGGCTCTGAGGAGAAATGGGTTAAAAGGATTTTTGAAAGTTCCACTGCTATTCGTGGTATAATTATCCCTCTGTGGGTTAAACAGAACATCTGAACAGATGATGTTTGGGCTAAGACTTGAGTGATGAAGCACCAGATATGTCAGATATAGAGGAAGAGCATTCCAGAAAGAGAGAACAGTGCATAAGTAGGCTCATAATAGAATGAGCCTATTAAGGAATAGAAAAAAGACCATATGGCAGGAGCACGGGCAGAATCTGATAAGATAAAGTCAGATAAATAAGGGTCAGATTTTGTAGGACTTCATATATCATGGTGAAGAATTAGAATTTTATTCATGTGTTATTGCTAAGACTCCAGAAGAGAGCAGGGCTACTTTTATATGGGTTTATATATGACACATTTTCCTTTTTGTTTTGGCTGTTCGGAAGATAAGAGAATGTTAGTGGGGTCAAGATATTTCAAGAGCTTGCCTTATTATTGTCAGTTATACATGAATATATACATATGAATGATTTTACTTTCCTTACAATTTTGGTTTGCATTATAACTCTTAGGACTTTATATTTTTTTGGTAAATAAGAGGGTATGTATTATTTATAAAAATAATGGGAACTCTACTTCTGACTGAATATAAAAGAAATTAATGTTTTCCTAATTAAATATGCTTTTTATCTTAATAGTATAATGACTTGATGAAGAAGAAGAGAATTGTAGAAAATGACAAATCAAAAATTCTTGCAACTATAGAAGACCTTGACCAGAAGAAAAACCAAGCCCTAAATATTGCTTGGCAAAAGGTATTTGAACTCCAAAATACTATCATTTATTCTGCATGAAATCTGTCACAGTTACTCAAGTCAGCTGTTGTAGTACTAGCAGCCATAGACAGTATGTAAATGAATGGAAATGGCCGGATTTGTCCCATGGGCCATAGTTTGCCGACTGTTGGCGGTCCCCTGAGTTAGAGTACCATAATAGACAACAAAATGGCACCTGCTGAGTTGCTTATACACTTATCAACATTTGATTCTTCTGGGAAATTTTTATGATATTTATGTTGTTTACTCAGGTGAACAAGGACTTTGGGTCTATTTTTTCTACTCTTTTGCCTGGCGCTAATGCTATGCTTGCACCACCAGAAGGGCAAACTGTTTTGGATGGTCTAGAGTTCAAGGTTGCCTTAGGAAACACCTGGAAAGAAAACCTAACTGAACTTAGTGGTGGGCAGAGGTGAGTAATCCCTTTTCAATATTATAAATCCTCATTCATCTTATTTTAATTATAAGCCATGATCTCATTACCTCCCAATTTTATTTCAGTTTTGCTGTGCTTAGCTGTCTTTGCATGTAGAATCTGAGGAGCCAAATACATTTTGGGGAGCCCTGGTGGTGCAGTGGTTAAGAGCTCAGCTGTTAACCAAAAGGTTGGCAGTTTGAATCCACCAGTCGCTCCTTGGAAACTCTGTGGGACAGTTCTCTTCTGTTGTATCAGGTTCCTATGAGAACCAACTCAATGGCAATGAGTTTCCTTTTTTTTTTTTTTTTTTTGAGTACATTTTGGTAGGAATATTTGATTAAAATGGTAGGCAGCAAAGGAGAAGCAAGAATAAGCAGTTATAAAACTAGACAAAATACATAAAAAAACAATGGTTTTCAGACATTGGAAAATGAATATCCTAGGACTGTGAGACCTAAGAGAAAGGAACCGAAAAGTGAGCCTGTGTTCACCTGGACTTTCTGCCTGGGGACAGTTTCTGGACTGTGGAGGCAGGGAGGGAACCTAAACCCAATAGTGTCGCTAAATTAGAGACAGAGATTAGAATTTTGGGAGGCTCCAGAAAGTTGCACCTTGCATTAAGTATGTACTATCCCTGAATTGAAGGCTATTCTAGGCATACCCTAGCAAAGTTAATAAGCCTTGAAGGGATCAAGATGACCTGCATTTTAATTTGTCAGCTAAAAGCCCAACACAATAACATAATCACAATCTCCAGCATCTAATAAAAGTTACTAAATAAAAATCAAGAAAATCTGACTTAAGACCAGAGGAAAAACATCAGTCAATAGAAACAGACCCAGAAATGACAAGATGATGAAATTAGCAAACAGAATGTTAGAGTTACTAAAGCTGTTTTCAAGTATTTAACAGAAAACATGAACATAATGAGAGAAATGAAGCCTACTGAAAAATAATCAAGTAGAACTTCTAGAGACTAACAAATATACCTGAAATGAAAAGTTCACTGCATGAGATTAATAGCAGATTAGACACTGCCAAAGAAAGATGAGTGAACTTGAAGACATAGTTGTAGAATCTATTCAAGCCAAAATAAAGAATAAAAAAAAGAACAGAGATTCAGTGACCTCTGGAATAATGTCAAGCAGTCTAACATACATGTAATTGGAGTTCCAGAAGAAGAACAAATAGTACAGAAAAAATATCTGAAGAAATATGGCCCTGAATTTTCCCTATTTGATGAATGCTGTAAGCTACAGACTTAAGAGTTCTCTGCACCCCAAGCAGGATAAACAAATACACAGTAACACAATAAAGCATATCATATAAAATTGCTGAAAATCAGTGATTAGGAGAAAATCTTAAAAGCAACTAGAGGAAAAAAGACATGTTACATGTAGAACAAAAATAGAAATGAACAGACTTCTCATCAAAAACCTATGTAAGAGAGAAGTCTGGAATAATATCTCTGAAGTGCTGAAAGAAAAATATGTCAACCTAAAATTCTTTATTTAACAGAAATATACTTCAAAATGAAGACAACATAAATTCTTTTCCAGACAAACAAAAGCTGAAAGAATTTGGTCCCAGCAGGATTGTTCTATAAGTTAAAGGAAGTTCTTCAGACAAAAATGATAACAAATGAAAACTTGGATCTACACAAGGGAATGAAGAATGCTAGAGATGGCGTGGTATAGAATTTAGGGACGTCTTTCCCAGCCATTACACTTTGATTCCAAAAAGCTGCATACAGGTAGAAACTTAGGTCGTATTGCCTAACCTTCTGTCTGCAAACAGCCAAATGATTAAAGCCTCCTGAGAGAAAATTATGAACATTCACATAATGAAGATAGTTATTAGTGTTGATTTTTTTTCTCTTTCAGGATGACAATCGTTAGTCCTTGAATTGTTCTCACATGTCCTATAGTACCCTCATGTAACTCCTCTTATATACATAGAGAATACTGAGACCTATTAATTTTCCTTATGAAATCTTTGTCATTTTTTATGAGTAGAAGCAGTCCATTCTATATTTTTCATGATTAATAAAATGCCTAAATATTTTAAGAGTCTAAAGACAGCTTCTGCTTTACAGAGATATTAACCAAAATTGAATCCCACAATTTAGACTCCTGTATCTTTAACTTTTTTACCAGTCTTAGAAAATGTTTTGAGGAAACTAGAAAATACATGCTTTCTTCTTATTGGAACCTATAAGTTATTTCTATAATTAAGATGATAAAAATTATTTTTATATAGACCACTGTCCAGAACAGCAGTTTAACTCTTAGTGAAATATTTTTTTAAAGATTAAAGTTTAATGCCTTAGACACTTGGCATAGAAGAGGGCAATGGAAAATAATTTTAGTTTGCTTAAATGACCTCAGCTCCCCTCTATAAAGATGAATGTCAGACTCTCTGTGCTTTGTTTTTTGTTGCACTATTTCGTTCATTTCCTTTCTGAGAAATCTTGGTTTCACTTTCCTGTACTCCTCCATATGTGCACACATTTCTTTACTGCTTATATTTACATGTTTCTTAATACCCTATTGGAATGCTATAAGCATTAGTTAGACTAGTTATTCTAGTGTTACATACCAGGAGGTATTTGAAGTTATAGAATAAGTATGTTGCAATTGTTACTGTATTTTTCCCTAATATTAAGTAATTATAAATATTTTGTATAACAAGGCTTTTTTAGGAACTATGTTTCTTAATAAGAATTATGACTCCTCATTTCCAGATTCAAATGAAAAAAGAGCTGTAATTAAAGGGGGTGGTAAGCTAGAAGAGAACTAAAAACAGAGCTATGAAATCTGGGAGTAGGAGTAATTACAAGTTTTAGATGATTGTTTGAACTTCCAACACACTGGAGTACTTAGAGTAACAGGCCATAATCTATGCAAATTACTCTCAAATAGTGCAAAAAAAAAAATTGTGTCTGCATACATACATAATAAAAGTTTGAAAGAATATACACCTAGGCGAGTTATACTATTACCAAGACAATAGCTATTGTCTTAATGAGAAACTATTTAGCCTAAGCATCTAATAAGCAGTTGGGGGAGGAAAGGGAAAAAATACTACTAAAACTAAAGCAATCTTTCTTAAGGGCAGGTATGAAGATAATATGGCAAAATTAAAATTGTCTTATAAAAATAGTATGCTTATGAGAGATTTAAAATTTTATCTTCAATGTTACTGATTTTTCAAAGATTTTAAGATTGAAAAACAATCTGATGAGGCAAAATTAAAGAATTTTTCTTTTGGAATGGATTTAAGATTAAGATTCCTGATTATTTGAATGGAAAGAAGACTATAAACCTGTTTTATTCAAAATAGAAGTCATTGAAGAGAGAAAAAATGGAAAGCTAAAATAAAAGAAACATTAATACAACAAAAGAAGTATTGAAATTTGGATCTTAAGATTCTTTTTATGACTTTCAGATTAATCTGCACTACTCACAATAATAACAAGATGGCAGAATTGCTTCATTGTTTCAGTATAAATGGCTTTTCTTCCACCGGCCTTTTTCTTAGGTCTTTAGTGGCATTGTCATTAATACTGTCCATGCTCCTCTTCAAACCTGCTCCAATTTATATCCTGGATGAGGTAGATGCAGCCTTGGATCTTTCTCATACCCAGAATATCGGACAGATGCTGCGTACTCATTTCACACATTCTCAGGTAAGAACCAGGAAATATATCTCAGTAGTCGTTTATTATTTATAGTATTTGTTTTTTAAAAAAAAACTATTCTTTAGCAATAGTCAATATGTAATAAGATATTTAGGACCGAAGTATACTAAAGCTATTGTATTTCTATTAAATGTGTACTTAGATGGGTATAGAAGGAAAGAGACTTTGGTCTCCTTTTCAAGAAAGAACCAAGCATTAGAATTGTTGATAGTAGCATGAAGAAGAGTCAAATTCTGTGATAATTTGGAATTGATTTTGAGTTAATACAATTATTTTTTCCAGTTAGTTGCCAGAAAGATGCACAATAAATACAATACTGTTTTCAGTGATACACCTAGATGTCAGAAAGTCATGTGGTGTATAAGGGAAGTCTCATTTCTCCTGTCTAAAAAGTGGAGAAAAATCCCTTGAAACTAAGAACAGTTTGTTTTTATTGCACTGTTGTAGGAATTGGGGCTGCCAAATGTTTGTATAGATTATGCATTGTACAACTCTGAGGTTTTCATTTATCATATTTGTCAAAGATTTGTGTTGTTTATTATGGCAGTTCTTTGGCAGACAGCAGTAAAGCAGCACCTTTTCTTAATCATACAATGGTTCCATTTGGGCTAGTGGTGCTGCAGGAATTTGCAAAGTATTTCACTTTGGCAGTTAGAGAGCTAGCAATAAAACACTGAAAATAGCAATAAGCAGTCAACCACCAGACAATAGTAAACTTAGATAATGAAGCACTCAGGGTGAAATTAAGAGACTCCTAAAACCTAATATGGAAAGTAGGATGCCTAGTATCGTTCGTTAGTGGAGTCCTTGGGTAGTGCAAATGGTTGACATGCTCAGCTGCTAACTAAAAGCTTGGAGGTTCAAGTCCACCCTGAGGTGCCTCATAAGAAAGGCCTGGTGATCTCCTTCTGAAAAATTAGCCAGTGAAAACCCTGTGGAGCACATGGGGTGGGGGGGAGTGCCATGATTTAGAAATATCATAGCTATTTGTTACTTTCATTTGAGGATGTGCAATTGCTTAGAATCAAGCATTTAAAGAAATAACAAAATCAAAGTGATCTCTGAACAGTTCTTAACCCTAATATAAAAAAACAGTGAACTTCTTCAAAGATACTACAAAAAAATTTTCAATCTTTTTTTTTCTTTTTTCCTTAAGTTCATTGTGGTGTCCCTAAAAGAAGGTATGTTCAACAATGCAAATGTTCTTTTCAAAACCAAGTTTGTGGATGGTGTTTCTACAGTATCCAGATTTACTCAATGTCAAAATGGAAAGATTCCAAAAGAAACAAAATCCAAGGACAAAGGACCCAAATGATCACATGTGGAAGTTTGAAGTACAAATTTACTCCTCCACCTTGACTTGTTTTTAAACAAATGTTTAAGAACTTGGGATTTATCTAATTTGTTAATATAAAAATTGAATGTTATTTTGTCAACCCATATTTTCAAGGTCCGTATTCTCCTCCTTTATATAATCACTTATAAATGAGCATAGATTCCTCTTTTCTTAATTAGTGTAACTATGGTCCAGTTACTGTGGTTGTGATTTTATGCATATTAAATATTTTTTCTTATGTTACTTTTTATATATTAGAGAGCCTGAAATACTCAGTTGGTGGTAAATCCTATATGTAAAAGCAAGAATACAAAGAAACAGATGAAATGAAGTTAGAGGATAAATTTAACTGATAGTCAGCTTTTAAATGGTTTAACTCCTAAGTCAGTGTTAGTTCCTTGAGGACACAATGCCACATCCCTGGTTAGACTCAGCCTGGGAAGCAAATCTTGAAAGAGTCCTCTCATTTTAATGTTTGACTATCATGTCTGTATGCTTAATAATTGGTCTCTGCACCTTACCTTTTTTTTTTTTTTTTTAAATTAATTATTCTTATGAGTATTTTAAGAAAAACTTGGGAGGTGTGTTGCTTGCTGCTCTCTGCTGCGAGTTAATCTGAAGTCTCCTGATACTTTCAGAGTAGCTTTTTGTCAGCCTTTACATGTATCCAACCAAAACAATCTATTGGTGAATGAGAATTTAGGAGCCAGCAGACTAAATCAAATCTTACCTATTTCCTTTAGTCTGATACATGTATAAATTCATAAATAGATCCATCCGTCTACCAAAAGATCTCAAAAGCTTAATGGTTATTACAATTCTTAGTGTCTTCTGCTACTTTCCAGTTCAAAGGGGTAAAGTTCCTTTAAGATTTAGAAAATAGAGCCTAGACAACATAAGAATACTATGTATAATTCTTAGTATCTCAAGATTCATCACCAACATAGTGTCTTCAAACTCTGAATCCTGAAAGCTCTGACCTGACTTAATATGATCTTGGGTATGTTATTTTGCCCCCACTGTCCCTTTTTGATCCTTGAGTCTTGTCATCCTGTCCCTGGTAAATGCTCATAACTCCTGGCCCAGGGTTTGTCATTTCTCATCATTCATTCTCCATGCATATCTAAAGATGTCAGGTAACATCCAGGTAACTGATGTCATGGGACACATTGGAAAGTGTTGAATCTTGAATTACTTCTGTCTACCATGGGAAGAGAGGGAGGCAAAGCTGTAAATATAGTTACAGGGAATCTAGTATCACAGATAATGGACATATGAAAATATTTGTTTCCTTTTGAATGTAGTATTGCAAATTATTTTCCAAAATAGTTGTATCACTTCACACTGTCATCAATAAAGTATAGCATACCATTTTGACCACAACCTTGACAGCACTGGTTGTTAATTTTTCTGGTGGAATAGTTATAACCAGCATTTTTTTTTTTTAATGTAATTTATTCACACAAATACTCTCTTAAAAAAACAAAATCCTTTGCCATCGAGTCGATTCCAGCTCAGCTATATGCAGAAACATGGGTGAATTCCACAATGTTAAGTGAAAGAAGCCAGACACAAAAGAGTGCATGCTAGTGATTCGATGTACGTACAGTTTAAAAATGGCCGAGTATAATATTATGTTGTCATAAGCGCCCACTTCTCAACACTAAGGAGCCCTGGTGGTAGAGTTGTTAGCGCTCGGCTGCTAACCAAGACATCAGTGGAATCGATCGACTCGACAGCAGTGGGGTTTTCCGAGCACTACCTGACTCAAGTGTAACTCCTATTCTGACTTCTAACACCAAAGATTAAATTTGCTCATTTTTGAGTTTTACTTAAATGTGATCACATAGTATATACTGTTTTGTGTCTGGCTTCTTTTGCTTAACTTTATAACCAGCTTTTTAAAAACAATTAATAGGTTGAACATTTTGCCAAGTGTAATAATTTACCTTCCTCTGCTACAAATTTTCTGTTTGTATACTTTCCCAATTTTTGTCTTATATATAATCCTGCTCTGATGAAAATTCTCCAACATACGTTAAAGTTTTGTGAGTAATGTTGTTATTCTTTGATTAGACAGAAAAGGGACATTTATTTCATAGATCTACATACTCTCATTCATAGTCATATTTGTTTCAATTTTTTAAAAAATTGTTAGAAATTAATAGATATAAATGCTTATGTTAGACAACAAAAAAGGTAAGTTGAATAGCCTAAGGTTCTACCTTAATCTGTATCCTAGATAAAGAAGAACAAAGTAAACTCACAGTAAGTAGAAGGATGAAAATAATGAAGGAAGGGTGGAAATCAGCAATATGTAAAACAAAAGCATGGAGAAAATCAATAAAATCAAAAGCTGGGAGGTGGAGCCAACATGGCACCCTAGACAAACACATGCTGTCCCTCTGCAGCGAAGACTCGAAAAACTAAAACAAATACAGACATCAATCCTGGAACCCTAAGCATCAAATGAAGGGCTAAAGAACTAGATCAAGCACCGAATGGAAGAAGAAACTGAACGAAAACAAGAAGGAGAGAGACAGAGTTAAGGTTACCTGCTACCTAACGCATCACAGCTTCACCATCTTAGAGCACAGCCAGAAATGACCCCGGACAGGGAGTATAAGAAGGCAACTGCATGGAGCCCCCAGTAGTAGAGCACCCAGTAACCCAAGAAATGCATTCCCACCCCTCACCCTTCTACCCTATGCTTGGCTAGAGAGCTACTGGCCTGCCATCACCCCAAGTCTGCCCCACCCCCACCTGCCAGCTCCTCTCCTGCCATTTTTTTCCCTCCCACCTAGCCCATTACACCACACCCGCCCCTTCCAGATGGGTAACACTGTGCCACTTGGCTTGAGAGCTACCACCTGCCATCAACCTGGGTCCACCCTACCTCCACCTGCCGGCTTCTGATGTGCCACTTTTCCCATCTTCTGTTTCTTTATCCCTCGTAGCCCCATACACCACTTCTGCTCCATCCACCAGGCCGCACCGCATCACCGTGGGTAGAGAGCTATTAGCCCGCCACCGACCCGGGTCTGCCCTGCCCCCACTCACTGGCTCCCACTGTACCATTCTTTTTTTTCCCCTCCTTTCTCCCTCCTACCTAGTCCTATATGCCACCTCGACCTCTTCCCGCCGTGCCATGCTGCACTATCATGGCTAGAGAGCCCACTGGCCCAATGCCACCCCAGGTCCACCCTGCCTCCACCCACTGGATCCTGTCACACCGTTTTTTTTTTTTTCTTTCCCTTTTTTCCTCCTTTCCACCTAGCCCATTATGATAACACACCCCCTCTTCCACCAGCCTGCCAGCCACCTTTTTTTTCTTTTTTCTTAGTTCCCCCTACCTAGCCCTGTACACCACCCCCAACTTCTGCTGGCCCTCGCTGTGCCACTGCAGCTACAGCATCCTCAGCTCAGGCCCACCACTGCACTGTGCTTGCACTGCTCTTGTCCTTCCGCTTGACCAGCTGCTGTACAGAGGGAAGTAAGCCTGTACCACTCCCTGTCCAACACCCTTGCCTCTCTGGCAACAGGCTGTGAATTCTTCCACATTGCTGGACCAACACCAGGAGGCAAAAAGCACCTGCCTAGACTGCCCTCAGGCACCATGCCAAACCAGTGTATAACAAAGTAGGCTTGCCCTGCCTGCTGCTGCCCTGCCCACCCAGACAAGGTGGTGAGAGCTATTGTGCCCACAGACGAGCAAGTAGCAAAGTACACCAAGCTCACCTGCCCTGACATATCAGAACAAAAATAAAGGACAAAACAAATGAACACACAATCAATAAATACAGAAAATAGTATTTAATGTCTCAGAGGCAGCACACAATATCAAAACATAAAAAAGCAGGACAAGATGGCTCCAACAAGTGACCAAAATAAACAGATGACCTTCTGGTAGAAGAAAATGCAGTGGATCAATCCAATATGAAATTAAAAACACTAATATTTAGGGCTCTCCAAGAGATTAGGAAAGAGATCAAGGAAAAAATAGACAATCATGGGAAACAAAAACAGCCAAAATCAAGAACACAGATAAGGCAGTAGAAGAATTCAGGAAAGTAATACAAGAACAAAATGTCAAAAAAACAATTAGAAATCATACAGCAACTAGAAACCTAAAAGATATGAACATGGGCGACTCAATAGAAGGTTTTAGGGGCAAATTTGAAACAATGAAAGACAGAATCAGCAAGACTGAAGACAAATCTATGGACACCACTTTGAAGAAAAATCAGAAAAAAAGAATGAAGGAAAATAAAACCTAAGAATTATGTGGGATACAATCAAGAGCAAAACTGCATGATTGGAGTTCCAGAACAGCGTGAGAAAATGGAAAACACACAGAAGATTGTTGAGGATTTGCTGGTAGAAACTTGCCAAGTATGACAGAAGTTGACCATCCAAGAAGCTCAGTGAAACCCCTTATAGGATAGACCCCAAGAAAGTCACCAAGACATATCATAATCACACTTACCGAAACCAAAGATAAAGAATCCTGAGAGCAGCTCAAGGAAAAAGAAAGTCACTTACAAAGGGGAAACAATAAGACTAAGCTCTGATTACTCGGCAGAAAATATGCAACCAAGAAGGCAATGGAATGACATCTATAACACCTTGAAAGAAACTTTCAGCCAAGAAAAATATATAATAAAATTCTCAAATATTATGGTGAAATTAGGCTATTTCCAGATAAACAGAAATTAAGGGAAAAACCAAAGCAAGCTTACAAGCAATGTTAAAGCAAGCCCTTCGGTTGGAGAACCAACTACATCAGACAACAACTGGAGTATTGGACACAGGACAGCATCAGCCAAATACTAACCTAGGTAAAGAACTCTCAATAATAAAGCTAAAAGACTTAAAACAGGGAAACAGCCATCAATCTGTAACTGATGACAATTTCAAAACAATAAAAGGGGAAATAAACAGTGTAGATATAGAACTTTCAAATAAGAAGTCAATGCAATATCAAGTAATAAAAGACTGGTTCAAACTTAGGAAAATAAGGGTAAATTTCAAAGAAACCACAAAGAAAGCTAACAAACCTACTCATCAGAATGAAAAAAGAAACGTATGAAGTCTCAGTAAACACAAGAGCTATAAAAACGAAAGAAAAGAGAATCTTCAAACAAAAGGAACTCAGCACAGGAGCATAAGAGGAACAAAGAAATTGTCAGCATCACAAAAAAAGCACAGCAGTATGACAGCAATAAACTCATACCTATCAATAATCACACTGAATGTAAATGGCTTAAATGTGCCTGTAAAGAGACAGAGTAGCAGAAATGGATTTTAAAAAAAGGATTCATTAATATGCTTTCTATAAGAGATACACCTTAGAAACAAAGACATAAATTTATTAAAAATCAAAAGTTGGAAAAAATGTATCAAGCAAACAGTAACACAAAAAGGGAAGGAATGGCAGTACTAATTTCAGATAAAATAGACTTTAAGGCAAAATCAACCATAAAAGACAATGAAGGATATTATGTAATGATTAAAGGGACAATCCATCAAGAAGACATAACCTTGATAAATATCTGTGCACCCAACATCAGGGCTCCAAAATACATAAAACTCTAACAGCACTGAAAAGAGAAATAGTTCCACAATAATGGTAGGAAACTTCAACACACCACTCTTGATAATGGACAGAACATCTCGAAAGAAACTCAACAAAGATGCAGAAGATCTAAAGGCCAAAATCAACCAAACTGACCTCATATACATAGAACACTCCACCTAATGACAGATTAAGTATACATTCTTTTCCAGTGCACATGGAACATTCTCAAAAATAGACCACATTTTAGGCCACAAAGCAACACTAAATAAAATCCAGAACATTGAAATAATACAAAGTATCTTTCTGATCACAACACCATAAAAGTAGAAATCACTAACATGAAGAGTGAGGAAAAAAAAAACTAAATACATGGAAACTGAACAACACCTTGCTTAAAAACAACTGGGTAACAGAAGAAATCAAAGATGGAATCAAAAACTTCCTAGAATCAAATGAGAATGCAAACACATACAAAAACCTTTGGGACACAGCAAAGGCAGTGCTCAGAGGTCAACTGACAGCAATAAATGCACACATCAAAAAAGAAGAATGGGCCAAAATTAAAACGTTAGCCCTACAACTCAAACAAATAGAAAGAGAACAGCAAAAGAAGCTCACAGTCACCCAAAAGAAGGAAATAATCATGATTAGAGCAGAAATAAATGAAATGGAGAACAGAACAGTAACAGAAAGAATCAACAAGACCAAGAGTTCTTTGAAAAGATCAGCAAAATTGACAAACATTGGTCAAACTGACAAAAGAAAAACAGAGAAATCAAATAACCCAAATAAGAAATAAGATGAGGGATATTACTAACAGATTCAACTGAAATAAAAAGGATCATAACAGAATACCATGAAAAATTATACTCCAACAAGTTTGAAAACTGAGAGGAAATGGACAAATTTCTAGAAACACACTACCTACCTAAACTAACACAAACTGAGATACAAAAATCTGAACAGACCCATTACAAGAGAAGAGATTGAAGAGGTAATAAAAAAAGCTCCTAACAACAACAACAACAACAAAAAGCCCTGGCCTGGACAGCTTCACTGGAGAATTCTACCAAACATTCAGAGAAGAACTCACATCAGTACTACTCAAAATATTTCAGAGCACAGAAGAGGAGGGAATACTCCCGAATTCACTGTATGAAGCCAGCATAACCCTGATACCAAAGCCAGGCAAAGACACCACAAAAAATGAAAATAATA